GCAATCGCAAAGCAGTTGTATGGTATATTATTGAGGAATGTTGACACTCGGGTAAAAGAGATATATGAATGAACAAAATCATATCTAAATGAGAGCGATCTTTAGAATAAGATGACTAAGAAAGGTTAAAATAATTGGTTTATGAGGATGGTTTTCACTCTTAGAAGCGAGTAACATGACCATCGAATGTTGGGGCTATTAGATACTAAATTTGGATTTCAAATACTGATTCGAATTCTGGACATGAGTTGTTATATTTATTTTGTCATCGTGATCTATACTTCATTGCCTACCTCTTCAATTTCACATCTCTTTTGCTCTACCTATGGTTCGACAATTTTCTATTTTCTTGTTTCACAATCGGACAATTAACCCAATCAGATTCAAATTAATCTCCCAGAGATAGAAACATTCTAATCTAAAAACGCACTGTTACAATCCAAGCCTCCAAACAATGATACTCACTTCTCAAAATTTAGGTGAGCTCTTTACTTCAACACAACGCTACTCACGTCTCAAAACTCATTCTACCTCTCCTCAAGCTCAACCATGCAAAATGTATGTCATAACCATATTTACAGCAATCCCTTTGTGTGTATTTAAATCCAACATAATGAGCCTCTAAAAACTAGGCTCCTAATCCATCTCGAATTCAAGTTCCTATAATCTATATTGCGAGTCTAAAGCCAATTCGGTGCAACCTTCTTTGTTATCGTCTTGGATGCTGCATCATTCGGAACCCTTGCAAGCGATCGGTACTGCAACTTTACACTCTCTGCATTGTCTAGTGTTTTTACCACATACCTGTAGTGTAAGAAGATGCCATTTTGTAAACTAAGATCAGGTAGCATTTGCAGAAAACAAATTTCAATCTTATTTTCGTTGCCCCATTTACTCGTTTTGGAAAGATTTGAATTCATAGCCAAATTCTCATTTTGGAAACAAAATAAAATGAGGAACAAAAAATGACAAACCATCCATTCAAGCATTGTGCTGTAACGACAGCCTCACGTCCCACAAAACGCTGCGGCGTCCTCTTGTTCCCCTGATCCGTTAAGGCTGTGATATTAGTTTCAACATGTTATAATATAGGAACTAAATAAGAGTACAGTTTTATGCTCACCTTGATAATCACCCTATCTGTCACTGCAAAAGGAAACTGAACACCTCGACCTCGTGGAGTATCCATGAGAGTTGAATCACCATAACCACCTTTATCCTACGTATGCAAACACTGGAATGATTATTAAAAACTTGGAAGCAGTTGCAGTACGAGAATATTGTTTGTTCTGAAGCGAAAGGGCGACGAACATAAATCCACGAGTAGAACCTGCCAGGTACCAAGCAAATACCTGCTCAAACCTCTCCCTTCTCCTTTTCGGTGAGCGGTAAAATAACAGTTCTTCTTCCCGGTGGAATGCTTGGACTGCAGCTTGAAGAGCTGAAGATGAAAATATCACGACACGAAAACGAAGATCGTGAAAATGTTCATGAAAACGACGTTCAAAGAGAATATCAATATATTACTTCGCTATTCTGAGAGTGAGTGCGGAGAAATGTGTACTCACATAAGTTTTGAGCAATAGAATCTTCAGAAACTGACTGAGAACATGAGTAACAAGATTTCTGAAAAGACATCAGGAGAAATACAGAAACTATTTCAACCGAGGTCGACAAAATAATTGAATGATTAATATGAACAGAGCAGCCATATAGCAATGGAAATTAAGGTGCACAAGATGGGTATACATAAATACTTGCAACAGAAAGTGAGTATTCAGAATCCAAATCAAGAAAATGCATGACAAACTCACTAAGACTAAATTCTGGTTATCTAGCCAAATTACTGGAATTCCCACAGCTAAGAGACAGGTCGCCAAGTTTTACATCATGATACACTGAAAAATACAAGTTCATAAGTTCAGTGGTGACAAAACTCGAGTCCGATTATCGAAAACTGAAAAGCTATGAACTTATAGATGCCAACATTCGAGTTCAAGCCTGCTACATATAAGGCAGTAGACTCATTTTTATAGCAAAAATTGTTATCTTTTTTAATTTTGAAATTCCTGCAAACTTTGATATATCTTCATAAATCTCACGGCCTGAAAAGGGGCTCTCAAGATCAGGATTCTACCCACCTAACAGTTTCAATGCACCTCTTATGTTTGAACATGATGGAAAAAATTATAGCTAACATGATGAAAAGCAATTTAAACGGCATAGATGAGCAGTGTTCTTGCCAGTAACTCACTACTCTAAGAACATGTTGTATTCCACCACTCCCAAAGGAATGCCCACATGGCAATATCATTGCATCGTCCATGAGAACGCCCCTGATTCCAAGAAGAAGTAAATATATCACCAGAAACAATTGAGATGGATAAATAAGTGAAGAAAATATAAGAACATATCATATTTCCTTCATGAAAACACACTAGAATCAAACTGCAAGCATCAAGTTCATACTTCAACATGATTGACAGGCTGAACCAAATGAAACATAATTGAAACACTTAGAACTCACGTCACGGGGTCGGTGAGAATTGCTCTCAGAGACTCTTCAGGTTCGCTTGAAAGCGAAACATCCCTTCTCCCAAAACCACATCCATTTTCTATGGCTAAATCCTTCTGCCCAGAAGTAGATCCCTCAGTGCCTTGCAAATACTGGGAATAATAAGCATTTTCAGGTTCTGCTATTGTAACCGCATTTGGGTCGTTCCGAGTAGCTCCTGTGTTACAGCCTGAAGAGCCAACCAAGCCATCCTTGATCAACAGAGTTCCACCTAAAACCCATAAGAACAATTTATAGTAATTTTCAAAATGGGAGCAGATAATTCAAACAAACATTCTAAAATCATAGTTTCTATTTGGGGATTGAAAATTGGATGTATAAAGTTCTTACCAAACGATGAATGGTGCTTAAGCTTCCCATTCCCCAATTTGTTCGTCTCATTCTTCAAGCCATCACTACTCTGATCGCTTATGTCTTTGTTGGTGTTGTTAGGGTTAGCAGTTTTAGTGCACTTATTGACATCATCCAAAGAAGCAAGCCCCTCAACAACAACATCATCATCATCACCATCATCGACTTCATCTTCACCATCATCGACTTCATCTTCACCATCGTCATCTTCATCGTCATCATCTTCCTCATCCGACCCTTTGCCACTACCAGTTCTTGCACTCTTATTACCATTCCAATTCCGGCTATGACCGAACACACTCCGGCGAAAATCTTCGACCTGGTGAGCAAAAAATCGGTCGCGGTCGACAGGTAAGAGTTTGTCGTCCATGAAACCGCAGAGCTCGCGGGTTTTGGGAGCTGGGTCGGCGACGCGGCGCTGCGACGTGGTGGCGCAATTGAAGGGCATGGCATCCTCTTGGAAGACGAGGTGGGAGTTGAGCCCATTCATGTCTTCGGAGGACATCTTGTTGGGAGAAAGGGGTCGGAATGGAATTTGAAATTGTATGTTATGGCGAATCGGGCATGGTGGGTTTTCAGGGACAGACGGAAGCTGGGAATTGGTGAAAATGGAAAAGGGGAATTGGAGAATTTCAGAGGCTGAATTTCTGGTTTTGGTCAGATCACACTGTGTTCTTCGGAACAATGGAGACAAATTTTATGAATTATAATTTTGTATTTACTTTTTAAAATTCACGCAAAATTTAATAATTTAATTAGATTTTTTTTAATTCAAGATTAAATTTATAATTTGACAGTTAATTGAATTTTTAAAATTTATAAGCCCTAAATTAAGATTAAACAGATTTTAAGTCCTTTACCTCAAATTTATAATTTAACCAAAAAAAATTTAAATTACAAATCTTTAATTAATTTGAATGGAGAAATCATTATTTTAAAAAATTGAAAAGTGGATTTGGGCTTTGACTCAATCTCAGACTCATTTAATCTTGGACCCATTTTTGTATGACCCAATCTGACCGAACTAGGCTTAATACGTGGCACAACTGATATTAAACACGTGTCGATTAATAATTGGTTGTAACTTTAATAATCTTAAATTTTATCTAATAAAACAAAAAACGAATTCCTATTCACTAACTGCAATTGATTTAGTATTTGATTGCAAATTACTTACTTTTATTGCTACTGAGTGTACAGTTTCATAATTTTAGAATTTGAGATCAAATTCTGTTTCTTTCAAGCTCCCACAAAAATTAAAAAAAAAAAAAAAATGATATGAACTCTCGAACATAACTATAGGTCTTTCAAGAGTCCTAGCACAAATGATCATCTCTCAATTTTCACGTGTTGTTGCATGGTCGGAAGGAGAAGTGTTATAAGATTTGAATGGAAGTCCCGAGATCAAAAAAAATACCAACGACGAAAGCACTCTACCTAGACTGATACTAACAATGAAAGACGAAAACTAGGACAAAGTGATAAAGACTTCTGATTAAGTAGGCTCAACTATCCCGTATCCCGGGCATATAAACAACAAGAGGTTTGCATATAACAAATTGTCTCAAAACAAAATAGTATTTAAAATGTATGGTGAAATAATATGTAAACATCTCTCAATCAAAGAATTCCACAAAGGGCCATGTGGTTGATAATTGAATTAATTATATTCAAATGCCTAATGGCTACCTAATATTCTAACCTTTGAATTTACCCAAGAAAATGGCAACAATATGTTATTATAAGCTTAATTCAGCCCTCAAAAAATGATTTCTTTTTTTTTTTTTTTTTGCATTATTTTAAATTTCACTCACCAGTTTGGATTCATTCTCTTTGTTTGAGAATCTTTTCTCTGTACTCTCAGGAACTTCTCCATTCTACTTTTTTTCCTTTTCCTTTGCTGCAAACCCACAATTTTGACAAATGGGGACAAGTCAAAACCCTGTCCTTTACCCAACAGAAACCTGCCAAGAACAGCAAGAACAGCAAGAACAGCAAGAACAGCAACAGCTTTCAAACAAAACGAAAAAAAGAAAAAAGAAAAAAGTACCTCAGAGAGAGAGAGAGAGTTTAAAATTAAGAGAATCTGCTGAAGTTGCCGCCTCTGCTTTTATCACACAAAACTGCAGATCATAGTTAGGCCCAGAGGGAATGGAAGAAATAGAACTAAATAGGAAGCAGCTTGGTGGAAGTGAATCCAGTGACTTCTAATTTTAAAAAATAAACTAAAGAAGTACAGTAAGCCAAAATCAAGGCTGGCTTCATTTGATATAACAGTTTTGAGTTCCATTGGCATCATCAGATAAGCACACTGAATTCCTGTTCACCATACGGTCGGAGTGTGTCTCGGGTTAATCTGCAGCTGTGTTCTTGACTGAGTTTATCCCAACTCCTCTTGTAATTCAGATGGGCATTTGATCATCTCCAATATTTTGACCATTTCTCTCATGTCCGGCCGGTTTGATGGCACATGGGAGGTGCATATCAAGCCTAATTTTAACACGGGAATGGCCTCTTCGACAGGGAAATTCCCCCTCAGCTTGCTGTCGATGCATTCTTCGACGTTTCCTTCTTCCACTGCTACTCTGACCATGTCGCAGAGGACTGCAACGTCGTCTTCCATGTACTCGACAGGTCTCTTCCCTGTAACCACCTCTAGAATCAATATTCCAAAGCCATAAACATCGCATTTTTCGGTTATCTTTACTGTCCTGCAAGCAAACTCTGGTGCCATGTAACCAAGTGCGCTTTGGATCTTGCTACTTAAAACATAACGGTCTAGCATTGGCAGCAATCTAGCTAGACCATAATCTCCAACCTTCGGTTGACCATTACAATCAATAAGAACGTTGCTGGATTTTATGTTATAGTGGATTGTGTTTGATTGATGCAAGTGAGCCAAACCTTTCGCTGTCCCAAGAATTATGTCGAATCTCTCGTTCCATCGCAGGACATAGTCATCTGATGCTTCGTGGAGCAACCCATACAAGCTACCTCCAGAGACGAATTCGTATATAAGGAGCTGTAGCGAGGGAGTCCAATAATAACCTTCAAGTGCCACTAGATTTTGGTGCCTGACAATCCCAAACTTCCTAACTTCCCTCTCGAAATCCTCTTGCGACTTAACAAGGCTAGAAACAGTAAGCTTCTTGATTGCAACCGAGTGTCCATCCCGCAGAACAGTACGATAAACTGCTCCAAATCCACCACGCCCAAGCTCACAATCCTTGTTCAGCAGGGCATGTGCACCTGTGCTAAAGTCGAGCTCTCCTGATAACACCACAAGCTTTCCAGAATTTGCATCAGGACTGGAGGAATGACTGAAATCATCCCCAACAGATAATGCAAGTGCAGCTGCAGATGAAGAAGACGTGGGTGATTGAACTCGAAAGTTGAGAATGGTGATCGATATTACACCAATGATGATGAAAGCAGCGGCACCAATGGCAATCAGCACAGAAATGCTGAGGATATTTCTATTTCTTCTGTGATTATTACTTGGAGGCAGAGAGCTGGAAATGGAATCTGAAGTGGAGTTGGGATTAAGAACAATAGGTTTTGGAAGAACGGAAGGGCAAGACTTGTTAACAACAGAGCCACAAAGGGATGGATTGCTAGCAACGGATGAAGGGGAGATGGTGTTAAAGAATCCACCAGTAGGCAGCTCACTGTTGAAGTCGTTGTGAGAAATATTGAACATATGAAGGTTTGGAAGATTAGACAACTGCTTTGGAAGGGTTCCATTGAGGTTGTTAAAGGATAAGTCGACATTTTGTAGATAAGAGAGTTTGGCTAATGCTGCTGGTATCGGGCCAGTTAAGTTATTGTGTGACATGAACCTGCCAAGTTTGACAAGGATAAATCTATCAGACATATTAGTTAAATTTAGATCATATTAAACGCTAAGCAGTCTCCAGATTCTAACCAGCCTTTCAAGTACTAGAAACAAGAAGAAAGGGACTAACTAAAGTCATAAGACTCACTACAACCCAATCCAAGAAAGAGATAACAGTTTCAATGCTTCTCAAACAAGTAGATATATCCAACAACAAATGCCGGGGAGAGGTTGGTTTTTAAAACGTGTCTGCTAGGGAGAGATTTCCACACAATGTTTCGTTCTCCTCCCTAACCAACGTGAGATCTCACAATCTATCCCCTTAAGGATCTAGCGTCCTCACTGGTGGGACCCCCCAATCCACCCCATTCGGGTTCCAGCGTTTTTGCTGGCACACCATCTCATGTCCATCCCCTTCGGGACTCAGCCTCCTCGCAGACACATCGCCCAATGTCTGGCTCTGATACTATTTGTAATGGCCTAAGCCCACCGCTAGCAGATATTGTCCTCTTTGGATTTTTCTTTTCGAGCTTCCCCTCAAAATTTTTAAAACATGTCTGCTAAGAAGAGGTTTCTACACCCTTATAAAAAATGATTCATTCTCCTCCCAACCAATGTGAGATCTCACAATTTCTAAATCATACAAGTAAGTTTGAATCTCGATAGTTACAAGAAACTAGTTTTAGCTGAAAACGGTTTATAAATGCTAGAAAATACAAATGTACATTCAACCAATCAAACAGTAGACAAGTAAAGAAGAAAAGGAAGCTTACAGATTTGTAAGGGAAGAACAGTGACCAATTGAAGAGGGAATTTCACCCTCTAGAAAATTCCCATCCAGCTTCAGCTCAATTAGGGACACAGCTCCTCCAATTGCATCAGGAATGGTTACGTTCAGACGATTCGAGCTCAAATCAAGAATGCTCAAAGATTTCAGATCTCCAATAGTTTCTGGGATAGGACCAACAAAAGAATTCCCGGACAGGTTTAGAAACTGCAGCTTGGCTAAACTTCCAGTTGCCGGAAGATTACCCGTGATCAAATTATGACTGAAATCTATTGCCAAAAGGCTTTGGCATTTCATCACAGACTCCGGAAAGCTATCAGTAAAACCATTTGAAGAGAGATTCAATACTTTTAGATATTGCAGATTTTCCATTGTAGAAGGAATACGGCCAGTAAAATTGTTCCCAGAAAAGTCCAGAGTTTCAAGGCTTTTCATTCCTCCTATCCACTCTGGAACATCTCCTTCAAACAAATTCCTGCTTAAGATAAGATTACCACACAAAACAAGTTTCTGCATTGTCTGAGGAAGATTCCCAGAGAAAGAATTCCCACTAAGATCAATGGATCTCAGAAGCAAACAGTTCCCAATACCATCAGGAATCTGTCCAGAAAATCGATTCCTGCTCAAGTTAAGAGTCCGCAGATTATACAAATTCTCAATTACATTAGGAATTTCACCCACCAGAGCATTATCAGACAAGTCCAAAGATCGAAGCCCACTAAAAGACCAAATTCCAGAAGGCAAAGAACCCGAAAACTGATTCGACGACAAGTTAACTGCAATAAGACTCCCACACAAGCTCAAACTATCAGGAATTTTCCCAAAAAATTTGTTGTTAGCCAAAGAGATGACTCTCAGAGACCCACATTGACTAAAAACGTCCGGAACAATACCGGAGAAATTATTCCCACTCAAATCAATCACCTGAAGATTGCCGACCCGAGAGAAATTGGGATTTATATTTCCACTAAGATTGTTCTTCGCCAGCGACAATCTCTGTAGAAACTCCAACTGGAAAAGTCCGCGGCCGAGTCGACCCGAGAGAGAGAATCCATCGAGGTTGAGTTCGACGACCCGATTGGATCCGGGACTGCATTTGACGCCAGTCCAGTTGCAGGGATTATCGTCATCTTCGTTCCACGTTGCGAGCTTCAGCTTCGGATCTTGAACATCGGCTTTAAACACTATCAGGCCCAAAACGTCGTCGTTTAAGGGTAGGTTTACGCATCTAGCACAGAGTGGAGCCAAAACGAACAGGACGAAGAGCTCAATAAGCCGTTTCATCTTCAGCAAACCTCGCATTGTCCGCTAACTTCGAAGACAATACCAACACAACATAGCCATAGCAAGAAGACACTAGTACAGTGCTACTGAACTCAAAACCACAATCAAAGAGACCTCGGACAAATTTCTCGTATAAATGACTCAAAATGGCTCAGACTAAGAACAAAAATATGGAAACTAAGCTAGAGGTAGAAAACGAAAAGGCTCTTAAGAATGTCTAGAAATGGAAGAGAATCCGAAATCCTACGGAGCAGCAAGAGCCAGAAAAGTAGCACATTCAAACAAAAAACGGCCGGAGTTTACACAGATTGTTGAAGAGAAAAGGCAGAGCACCGTTAAAGTGAGTTGCAGGGCGAAGATTACTCAGACAAAAAATTACAAATTTTTCCATTAAATTTGAGCCAATTTTCGTATCTGTATCAAATTTAATTGATGTATATCTTAAAATTTATTTAAAATTACTCGAGACTATTTTTAAAATTTAGGAAGAAAATATATATAAAAAAAAAAAAAACACTCTTTTTTTTATTTAAAAAAACCGACAACGATATTAATTTAAACAAAAATCAGGAAAATAAATTTTAGAGAGAGAAAGTAGGTAATGAAATTGAAGGTTAGTTGAGTGAATTAAAAGAGGAGAGAGAGAGGGGCGCATCTGCAAATACTGAAAACTGATGGTGATTTATGAAAAAGCTTTATTATTATTATTATTATTTTTGAAATTGAAGCTTTATTTATTTATTTATTTATTTATTTAAAAGTATATTTCTTACCTTCCATTAAAGCACAAAGGGGTGGGGCCCACCTTTCCCCTTGATTCCCTCCAATTTAATGCAAAGCCCCTAATGAATTTGACCTTCTTTTTCTTGGAACCCTTCGCCTCTCTCTCATCCCTATCCTAGAGAGAGAAAATATGATTTAGTAGTTTATGTTTTAATTTTATTTTAGTCAAATTTCATAACTTGTCTTTATTATAGTGTATTAAAAAATATTAAATATATATTTTTATATTATTGTTGGGATTATGAGCTGGCATTTTTTTTTTTTTTTTATCAATATGTCAATTTGGACATATTTGAATGCTCGAGAAATTAGTATTTGTCATAGATGGAAAGTTATTAGGGTTTCGGTTAAATTTTTAAAAATAATAATGATAAGAAACGACTCAAAAAACTCATATCGTATGAGGTATCATATCTAATTATGTTTGGTCAATAACTCCAGTCACTTAGTAGTCAATTAACTCTCTAATTGGATTTGTCAATTTTATGATGGTGCATGTAACAGCCCAAGTCTACTGCTATTAGATATTTGTCTTCTTCGGATTTTTCCTTTCGAGTTTTCTCCTCAATGTTTTTAAAACAAGTTTTCACACGCTTATAAAAAATGTTTTGTTCTCCTCCTCAACCTCAACCAATGTGGCATCCTTAAAGAATGTTTCGTTCTCCTCCTCAACCAATACAACATTGTGAAATTCCACATTATTTATAAGGGCGTAGAAACCTCTCCCTAACAAACACATTTTAAAAACTTTAAGAGAAAGTCTAAAAATGACAATATATGCTAACAGTGAACTTGAACTATTATAGTACATTGTATATACCAGACTCGGTGGGCTATACTCCAACCCTATTATAGTACATGTATATACTCCAACCGATGAGAAGTGACACCTAATGGTAGAGTTGAGCTACTCCTAAATAAGAGGTCATTATTTCAGCGTAAATAAAGGTCAAACTATCAACTTTTGAGATAATGGAAGGGTTGAATTAACCAAATATCTACCATTACAAGAGCACAAACTTAAAAGTCTATACTTGTATATCATTGTAGAGTATGAGAGCAGGAAATTACAATATTTGTTTACATTTCACAAACAGTAACTGAAGAAGATCATCAACTTTCAGACCAACCAGCTTCTTTCATCTTCCATTTCCATTCTATCAAGGCTTTGAAGCTACAAAATGTATAATATTTTCAAGGATTTGCTCAAGTCACCAATGGAAGTTAGTTAATGTGAGAGTTTTAAACCTTCATTTTCTTCATCACTACCCTCCATGGTGGATGTAATTGTACAACTTTGAAGCATAGTAACTGAGACATTCAGCTCCCATTTTAAGCAGCTTAGTAAGAGAAATGAAACAAAATGTACAGAGAGAGAGAGCATCACAATCTTTTATCTTCCTCAAGATCTCCTCCATGTCCAAACACAGGCAGATCTGCAATAGTAGATGGTCCCTTTCTTTCCTTCCTTTCAAGCTTGTTGGATAAATCTGGAGCTATCTTAATTCCGGCTCCAGTGAGAGCCACGACGTCCTCGTCGACATCATCCCCAGTGTCCTCCGAGTATGCGAATCTATGAAGCCCAGTTAGACACTAGCTAATTTCATTTGATAAACACTTGGGTTTCTTAAAAAAAGAATGTTTGTTAAATATCTGGTTTTTACGTCTCTTTTAAAGCAATCAAGAACAAGTAATTCAGCTGTAGTTTATGGGAGTGAGTAGGTAGTTCTGTGCGGGAGAGAATGTATTGTAACAGCCCAAGCCCAAACCCACCCCTAGCAGATATTGTCTTCTTCGGACTTTCCCTTCCGGGCTTCCCTTAAAGTTTTAAAATGCGTTACTAGAGAGAGGTTTCCACATCCTTATAAGAAATGTTTCGTTCCTCTCTCCAACTGACATGGGATCTCACATGTATAAAGAAAGATTAAGGAGATAGAAGATAGTGAAAGCTATCCAAGTGCATAAAAAGGTAGTGAAGCAAAAAACTGATATAACTAAACATGTTGATCAAAATCCTTTTGAACTAGAAGAAAAAATTCTTGATAAGACCCTTTTGAACCGAGATCCGGTTGGCAAAACCGCGTTGATCTAGAAGTAGATTCAAGTAAATTCCCAAAAGGAGGCAGGGGATTGATGATTACCTGGTTACAGGATTATGAGAAGGAGCCCAAAGAACACATATAATCACCAAGAGAACAAAAGAATGCAAAATCCAGAAGGCTGGAATAATCCAAGCTCTACGCCACAGCTCGCTTAACGGATCGGTCGCATTGAAATAAAACTACAGAAACAAGAATCAGTAATTCTAACCATTGGACTTATCTTTACAATTTGTCCTAGCAGTAGAGAAAAACGAAGTCACCTCATATCCAATCCAAGCTATAGAGAGCAACACCGAAACCGCAAGGCAGTTGGTAAACTTCCGATAAAGCTCGAGTTTGGCCAAGCTTTTTCTAACCTATAAAGCATACATACAGAACAGAGAACTGAATAAGATCATCCTCCCAGCAGAAAAAAAGGCTCAAACAATGTAAATTTACCTGAAGCTTCTCCAGGGTTTTTGATAGAGAGGAAAAGATCCAAAGGATAAAGCAAGCATCCAATACAGCAACTGGCAACACCAGAAAGAACCTTGTTTTTCCCGATAAGTCATTAACATTTCCCAAATGCTCAACAACCTCAAGTGCTTCAGAAGCCAAGAAGTATGCAACACCCAGAAGGATAACTCTCGTGGTTATACCGCCGAGGATCGGTCTCACGACTCCATATTCCATTGAAACAACTAAAAGAAGCAGCCTAGAAACAGTCTTCTTAATAGCACTGAACGTAACTGCCAAAAGGGTTATTCCCATCGGTCGACTTCCAGAGGAATTAAAATTTGAATACTCAAAATACCAAAGGGCCATTTCACACATTCCTAAACCTATCACACAAGTGATATGGTATTGCAATTGCATTACATCTTTCCAATATCTTACAAACCAGAGAAACCAGACAAGACCAAGAATAAGGTAAGACAAAGACATAAAGCCAAAGAATGTTACCATTGGAGCCATCTTTCCTGGTAAATAACCATCTGGGTTTCTCCAAACTGTTCTTCCACTGATCAATGTACCTTGGAGTTGTGGATCACAAAACATAAAATACAGATAATACATTCCAGTTTTGTTGAGTTCAATTGTAATAGGCTCCATATTAGCTTCTTCACTTATCCCTTCAAAGAAAGTTTGAATTCTCCTTGGTCTATTAGGGTCATATGAATCCTGCTTAATAATAACCTCTCCTAACTTGCAAGATCCATTATTAGCAAGCTTCTGGGTGCAGCATATGAGATCAGAATTCAGAAATGCCCCTCCAATTTTTTTCCTGTCTTTGACTTCCACAATAATAGCTTCAATTAACCCAGTTTTTTGCTGCATCTCATTCTTTTGTTCTGCAGATTTTTTGGTTCGTCTAAATGTAATCGATTCAAACCTACATTACCCACAAACAAGAACTAATCTAAATTCTTTGGTACACCTCCATCACATGCAGAAACACACATGAACTGGAAACTTAAAACGATCGATTTCAACCAATCATCAAACAACATTTTGAGGAAATAAACCAACCCTAATGCGGCAAACTTGATCAAATGAAAGAACAGTAGCGAAAATCGGGAAACAAAAAAGAATGACTCGAGATATACAAGGTTCGATTAATTTACCTGATGAAGGTCATTCCATGGAGTGATTGGTCTGCATAATCGGTGAAATTGGAGGAAGGAGGGTGGAAATTAGAAGCATAAAGACCTTCACTACCGCCATGGAAGAAGAAGGAATTGGAACGATGGATGAAGGATTCGTTTTGGTATTGATGAATGGAAGCAGCCAGTTGAGAAATTGAAGAAGAGCTCAGAAAGGAAAGCGCAAGGATGATCCGAATGTAGCCATTGGAGAAAGCAATCAAATCCAAAAGCTCCCTCGTCATTGTTCTGTGATACTCGTCTCGTTCTTCGGAAGAACAACCATAGAAAATACTTCTCTTTCTATGCTCAAATGTTAACACATTCAGGATTATTCTAAACCTTATTCCAATCTTCCCCAAATTACAAGTTTCGTCCAATTTGACCTTATTTTTATTTTTATTTTATCTATTTTTATTTAAAGTATATGATAATTCCAATAATTATCAACTACGTGTCTATTAAATTTATGAATTTTATAAAATAAAAAAATTAAAGACTAAATTCAAAAACTAAATTTATAATTTAATTGATTTAAATTTTAAGAATATATCAATATATAATATTTTCTATTTCATAAAAAATATTTAAATTAATAATTAAGTTTTATTTTCAGACTAATTTATTGTTATTAATATTTATATTCATATATGAATTTTCTTTTTAATATATAACGTATATTCAATAAAGGAATCTACAAATATATCAACGTTCTTATGGATATTTCAATCCTCGATAGTTTGACGGCAATAAAGATATTGTGTTCTTAGTCTAATATTAAATTTTAGTCAAAGTATAGACATTTTTGTATGCTGATGAATTTCTAACTCTGTCATTATAAGTTCATCGATATTTCCTTTGT